TAACAAAACCCAAACATTAATCACGGCAAATGACCTCTTGGTCATTTGCCAACACTCATGTCACACCGGCGAACGGGTTACCACCACCCTTGTAATCATTGCTGGTGATGGCACCATTCATGATATCACCGCTACTTCCAGCTAGCGGTGTTACCGGTGCAACAAAACTCATATATTAATCCCGGCAAATGACCCCTTGGTCATTTGCCAAACTCATGTTACACCGGCGAATGGGTTACCACCACCCTTGCTATCATTGCTGGTGATGGAATCATTTCTCCATCGAAGTGTCAAGAAGGAGGCAGAAGCCTCGTCCATGAGTACTTGAGGTACAATTCCTTCATGTCATTAATGAATGAAGGCATGACACGAAGGTACCCAATCAAGTACTCTCCATACCTTCCTGATTCACCGCCTGAAAATGTGTACTTGAGCAATCAATCCCATATATTAAAAAAGTACATGATAATACTACAGAAACCGAAAATAGCGATACAATCATAAGAACTCAGTGGAAAACAATTTACTCTTGATGAAACTTACCAATGGTTGTGGTGAATGCGGAAGGCAACGACCGTGTCTCCTCAATCACTTTAAGCGATGCATTACCTGAAAGTAATAATTGCTACATTGCTTACACAGAAAAACTCGAACGAAAAAAAAACCCGTCGTATTACTTGCTGTGATAACAGCTCAAATTATGCAAAGAGGTCACGGGATATAAGATTACAGAACACAAATCGGACAGAAGACCTAGTCAGATAGATACAGCTGAGCTCAGAGAGCACCCACACGATACCACTTACAACTAATCAAAGAATGAAAGAGGCAGTCGCAATTTTACTTTTTGGCAGCTGTCCAAAAAAATATAGGAACGGAAGTACACATGCACACATAATGCAAATTGCTTATCTCACTTCAAATTCAACTTACCAAGCGCGAACTCTAAACAATACACATCTACTGCTTCACTGACTGTGATGAATGAATTCAGAGCAGGAAGTTTTGGTTTTTTATCTAATTTTATTCATTCAATATGGTTCCTTAGATATTCAATATGATTCCTTCTGACATGTTTTCGAAATACTGGTAACACTACTGGATTAAAAGTAATATTCTATTACTGTGTTACAATCAGGCTATCTTTAATTCCAAGAAAATTTTAGTAAACTACGAATTGTTGTTTGAATAAATTGGCTGACACTTTTTCAATAACTGTTTATTGCATTACTTGAAATCTAACTTTGGTTCAAAGCAACTCATCACAAATGAACAGCTACGCATGCAAATGAAAATACGCACTTGCACAACTCTCCATACAACTAGCAGACGAAAAGCTGCGCACATATGCCACCAAACATGCACATTCAATCCTGCACTCACTCAGTACATAAGCACAACTACAGGAACAAAAAGCTGTATGTATTACACAGACAGCCGCTGCTCCTCCAAACATTATTATGGCAAGGATAGCAGTCCTTAATGGTGCTAAATTTAGTTGCATCATAATTTTGCACCATGTTGGATATGAGCAGAAAATGAAAATTAGCTGCTTGGACAAACTACTACAAGCTGCAGCTTAATAACTCAGTACGTAGTCCTTGATAATAGTCATAGCTAGCCATAACTGTTTGTAAAATTTCTTAAATTGTTTGAAAATTTTTCAAATTCAGTAACTGAGGAAGTCATTTCGAGTTTTTGAAATAGGAAAGTTTTAAAGTCAGCTTAGTTATCTACGAAAGCTACACAAAAGCATCTACTTAGTAAGTGAAATCAGATCGATAAGCAAGCGCATGCTAAAATGAGTGAGTCTATTACTACAAATTTCGCAACAAATTATACATAATTTTTCTTTCTCTGCAAATGCCTGAGATATTGTGATCGGAGTCTGATGTACTGCATAAAATATTCCATGCGTGAGTTACGCTTATATCCGAAATCGCAGTCATCATTTAATAGTTTACACAAAATATTTGAAAGAAACCGATTTACGTGAATCAACATTATGAGTACAAATAATCGACATGAGAATTAATACAGCGAATTCAAATCGGAATTTTCATTGGTTTGCTATTTTTAATTCGACCAGAACAAAAACTATCTGATCATGTAACATATTAAATAATTAAATTGCATGTTGCAAACTACCTCACTCATATTTTTACTGCATAAATCATTGCTTCAAATTTCAATTCATAATTTATTGCATCGCTAAAAATTGTTCCTATTTCTAATTTCCTCGTTTCGTATATACAAAACACTTCTGAAAGCTATTTGCTTTGCGAAAAAGCCAACATTAAACAAAACTTGACTTCCATTCTTCAACAACAACAGCCACGTATTCTACAAATGTCCTATTTAATCTAGAAAAAGTCAAAGATCAGCTGAAATATAAATTTAACACATTAACATACTTAATTTCTCAATGACAAGTAAGAACTGCGTTGAATACACTTGAATATGGAAATGCTCATACTTGTGAATTGTAATCAAAATCCGTTCATCGTTCATTTAGATATTTAGTTGATGAGAATGCGTTGTATTTCATAATATAAACGATAATCGGTTCAAACTGATCACTTTTATGCCAACTTATCCAAAAAGATAACAGGAAAGCAGTGATAACAGGCAGAATCATTTATTGTATAAGAACGAACAAAACAAAAACAAAAACAAGAAGTCTAATGAAGTAAAGGGCAGTGCGGAAAAGCATGGCATATACAAAAAGAACATTTCTTATCTAATAAAGAAATTGACAAATTCTACACTTAAAAAAGAAAACAAAACTAAAGCTATTTATTTAATGTGTAACAAGTCTGATCATGTGCTATGTGCTATCTTAAAATGTGTTATATTAATTACAGTAGGAAAGTCCCAAAATAAAGCTGAAAATTTCTATTTGGAAATAATGATTGATGAAGATTATATATATATAGCGACATTAGAAATGAGCAGACACTACAGTTTCTTATCAAACCAATGGAAGATAAAAATTGGACTACTCTATAACTTTAAAATCATTTACGTAAGTACAATATCAACCAATATTTGCATATGAATCAGTGTTAAAATTAATATGTATAATTTGACATTCCTGGGAAAAAAAGCTCGGAAATTTTTAAACTTCCTCACAAGACTTGTTAGGATTTTCTGTTTCAAAAACCATTTCACTATTTTTTCAAACCTAATATGACAAGCAGAAGCGCTCATAAGCACGATTACAACACAACTTAAACAAATGTTTGATAATTTGAACTGTTATGAAGTGGGCCAAGAAATGTCTAATTTTGAAATGCGTAAGTGGAATAAATTAATCTTTCATGGATAATTTTGCATCAGAAAACAGCTGACCTCAAAGTTTACAATCGACTTTTAAAAGCTAAATGGTATATTTAATTTAATAACAATAATTATATGTCAAAAAATAGAATAGATAAAAACATTTTTCATAAGGAATAAAATATGAAACAAATAAATTTCACGACTTTGATGAGGATAAAGATGAAAGTGTTGTTTAACTAACAAATAGATGCAAAATTTTTGTATTTCTACTTCACCTTTGTCATTAAGTTAATTTTTTTCAACAGTTATAAATAGGAAAACGATGCAGCTTTTTGTGTGCAATATATCAACAGAATGCAAAATGTAAAAATGATTTTGGATGAGATGCATTGGGAGTGAATATTCATGGAATCTCTCCATGTTCCAATCTCTTATCCTTTGCTAAAAGAACTTAGCATTCCCAAGTCCTCATGAGATCAATGAATAATCCTTTTGGCAAAGCCATCTGCCGTCCAATCTAACTTATCTTCATTAATTTCTGCATATTGAACACCAATTCCATTACCATCATTATTGTCATTTGCAACATCAATCCTGCAATTAATTCTTAATTAACAATCCATAATTGTAGCGCAACTTTCTATTTCAATTAATGGTTCAAGAATGAATTTCTTTCTTTTTATAAAATATCTATTGAACCATCAATTAAATGAAACTGCATGATTTTTATGGAATGAAAATTACAGAATGTTTTGTAATTGTTACAAGCAAGGCCACTCTCTTGCTTATATTTATCACTGCATTTTTAATTCAATTAAAATACTAAAGGCAATTGTTTTTATGAAGACAGAATGTGATGATAATACATACAATAAGTAAATGTATTTTGAGATTGGTTAGCACTAGTAATATGTGGTTAGTTAATTCGATGATTCTGAGTCGGATTTGAAGCTCTTCTCTTGCGGAATGCAGCCCGTTCCATGCCGTTCTCATTTGACTATAATAATTTATTTTGCATACCACTAAAACTTTACTAATTTATTTTCTTATATTTTACCCAATACAAAATGGAAAAATTTGCATTCATATTAAAGACTTAGAACTTGCTACACAAACAAAAAATTGATAGCGATGACTACAGTATTTCTATTCTTTGCCAAAAAGTTTACAATAACTGGAAAAAACTGTACTTTTTGTACAATAAAAAGTTCAAACTAAAATGGAATAAAGGATGAAACTGAATCAAATGTGGCTTCCAGTGCAAGAAAAACTGAAAATTTAAAGCATTTACAAAGTCGTTAAAAAGTTCATTAATAGCAATACTGCATGCTATCAAAGTATCTTGCAATGCAATTTAGTCTTACCCATACGCTGTTCGAACATTTTGCTGAAAATTCGAGATTTTTGTCTGTTTTATTATCATATGAATAAATCAGAAGACTGCTAGCTGCTATGGCGATTAGAAGGAAATTAAGAGTTTCAATAATTTTGACAATAAATTTCATTACTGGTAAATTTGACCGATCATAAATATTAAAAAGTACTAACATCAAGTGGTTTCCAGGCACAGTAAGGCATTGGTAATCCATCTGGTCCAGTTGGACAAGGAGCATCTAAACCAGGTATACCCTAAAAGCATTACCTGCTATTAATATATGGAAAAATATGTACAAAATTCGAGACATTTTCCGCTTAAAATGAATTTCTTTTCTTATCACTATGTCACATTAATTTTCTATAAAACCAATAAGCATAATAAATGACCAGACAGATTTTTTATCAAAAACAGAGATTTTTTTTTTTACCTGCTCACCCTTCTCTCCTTGCAATCCAGGTAAGCCATGCTTTCCTTGTTCTCCTTGTGGTCCTCGATCACCAGGTGGACCACGCGCACCCTAAATCATAAATTTTTGCAAAAAAATTAACTCCTTCCATTATGTAATTTCAAAATAATTCTCAAAAAATCAAATACTACTTCATTAAACTATTCCAATATTAGTAATTAGTTTATCAAAACTTTAAAATCCGTGAATGTATACTTTAAAAATGTTCGAAATAGTAACAACTTACAGGTAATCCAATATCTCCTTTGGGCCCTGGTGGTCCTACTGGTCCAATTTTGCCCTTTGAAAAATGTCACAATTAAAAAAGTGTGAAAATTTTTCACAATCTAAATTAATAATATAACAAACATTGAAACTAGCTAACAGTCACCATGCCATGCAATCAAGCAGTAGGATATTATGTTACGAATCACCAAAAAATACATCCAGTGCTTACACAGCTATTTGTACAAACATCTAACAATTTTCAATTTTACTTATTAATTTGTTTCTGAAAATTTTGTGTTCTTGTGAATCTGAAAATTGCAAAGTAACCGAAAAAACTTATGAATTATACATTTAGTAAAGCAAGATCAAGAAGTCATATCAAATGGATTTGAAAAGTTCAGTTAAACAAAAAATTTTCCACAAGAGTATCAACATATCAAGTACTACAATTTCTTTGCCTTCTATGAACATCTAGATAATCATTGATAGTTTTCTCCATAAAATCGTAAAATGATAAGAAGGAACAAAGTAATCCTTGCCAACAAGGAAAGCTTCGAGTTTTTTGCTCACAAAGAATACTTGATATGAAAGGTATTAAGTTGAACCTGTCTTCCTTCAATTCCAGGTGTACCTGGTGATCCTCGTATTCCCATTGGTCCAGGAGGTCCCTGAATAAAACTAGCTCATTATAAACGCTATTTAAAAGTTGTAATTTCGCAATGAAATATGAAACTTACCGGCAAACCAAGCGATCCAGGAAGACCAGCCAAACCTTGGTCTCCTTTTTCACCTTTCAAACCAGGTGGTCCAGGTAAACCGGGACTTCCCTGAAATTGAATTTTTTAATACCAAATAATTTTTCATCACAAAATTATTATTAATAGCAGAAATATACATACTCGAGGTCCTGGAGGCCCTGAAACCATTAATGATGATGACGATGACGCAGTCGCCTCGATGACGGAGCCCTGAGAAAAAATTTGTTTCAGTTAATCTGTTTTTCCTTTATAATGAAATAGAAATTTAATCTCATTTAATGCCACAAATCCGAAGTTTTACAAATGATAAATACCAAAATAAAGTTCACCGGAAGTCCTGGCAATCCTGGTGGACCAATCAATCCAGGTGGCCCGATTTCGCCTCGTTCTCCTTTGGTTCCAGCATGACCTGGTAAACCCTGTGGACCGCGCTCACCACGAGATCCTTGCTCTCCTTTAGGACCCTATAATTAGTTTTAAGTAAAGATCACAATCAAACAACAAATCAGAAAGACTGCTTAGAAATTCGATTTATAATAAACCTGAGGTCCTGGCGCCCCAGGTAAGCCTCCAATGCGAGCATGTTGCACTACTGATAACACTTTTTGTATAAGCTTCTCTTCATTTACTGCTAAACCATCTTTACCCTGAACAATATTAACTGACCAAAGTGTAGTTTCAAGTTTCACTGCTATTTTATTGTATGAAATAATCTAGATTAAGTAGTTTAAAACAGCAGTGTCTTAGTAATTCAAGACTCATCATCGGAAAATTTTACTAATCAAAGCATTCATACTGCGTCAATAATTTCAGACAAAATTAAAACAGAATATTCGCAAAAATTCTAAAACACAAACAAAAAAATCAGAAACTCATCAAGTTGAATAAAAATTCAAAGCTTACCTTTCAGCAAACGAGTAGTCCAAACAAAAGCTTTTTTCAACACAAATACGATTCATGCAAAAGGCATGCTAACAAATGATCATTCAATTTATGCAAAACAAACTGACATACTACCAATTGTCATTGTATAGTCGTGAAATGAAAAACCACAAAAACAAAAAACATTAAACATAAAATGTTTCAGAAATAATTCTGCATCAGATAATCCCAAAAGATCAAAATTTCAGTCGTTTTTCATTTGCGGACCAACTGATGACAAAAATTCATAAAAGTACCAAGATACAGCGGTAACTTACTTTTTTTCCACGTCTACCAGTATCACCTTTAGCACCTGGTTGTCCCGGTATACCTGCCATACCTTTGCTACCCATATCACCCTGAATCCGTCTCGGTAATAATAAAAATCTTTGGTGAGTGCACCACAGCATAGTTATTAGTTTGAATTTCTAACAACAAAATTAGTAAACATTGGATTACATTTATGTTAAGTTGATATCTTCACGTAACAGCAGTCAAAAGTAAGCAATGGATAAAGCATCTGATATAGTATCTTAAAGTATTTAAAAAAAATTAAAACACTATATTTACATTAAATTAATAACCTGTTGACAATACATAATGTACGACCATTATTCTCAAAGTTGCGCAAGGTCAGAAAAAAAAATAACCTTTTCTCCTTTTTCACCTTTACGGCCATCGCGTCCTGGAGGGCCCGGCGGTCCAGCAATAATTTGCGTTGCTCTTGCTGATGCTGCTGTAACAATACCAGGAAGTCCTGGAGCTCCCGATACACCAATATCGCCTTTTTCACCTCTCTCACCCTTTTGCCCCTACAAATTGCTTTTATCAGAATAGATATTTCATTTAATTCCGGTTTCTATAGTTTTACTGATTGAGATAAAAGAAGTTCGAAAACACATACCTATTTTCACGTAAAATATTCATTATTACTTATGAAAGAATTTGAAAAAAGGCAAAAAAAGGATTATCAAATTTTAAAAGTGTCATTATCTGAAAGAGAACAATAAATTAATCTCACAGTTTCACAATGAGTTCACGTATATGAATATATATATATATATATATATATGTACCAAAAATCTATCATTCAAAATGATGCAAAATTTCTGAATGAGAACAGTGTAGCATGCACTATCAAATACCATTCGACAAAGCCAAACAATGATAACAAAAGTGATTTGTATGCAAATGAATTTACCGGTGCTCCTCGTTGACCTGGACTACCCGTCCTTCCCATTCGTCCTTCTGCACCATCTCTGCCTGGAAATCCTGCATCACCTTTTGCTCCTGGAGGTCCTGGTACCCCCGGTGAACCAGGTAATCCTGGTTTCCCTGGTGGACCAGCAATTGGTTCCAGATGTTCTACTACATGCTTGGATGGCGAACCTGGTAATCCACGTTGTCCAGGTGCTCCTGGCTCCCCCTAAGTCATCCATTTATCGAATTATCTCACGTCTCAACAGTACGACAAATACGTGCAACCACAGACTGGCAACACTGTTTATAGATACAATCAAGCATTTTTTTTATAAAGTTACGATACATAGATACAACATCACTAAAATATCAAGTGTATATTTTGCTTTGTTTTTTGAATATAATCAAAAGTACTTTTAATCCAGGTGGTCCAGGAGGTCCGATGAGACCATTTTTGCCCTGCATTCCGGGTTCACCAGGTTCACCTTTAACTCCGATCCGTGATTCACCATCAAATCCCGGTAGTCCTCTCTCACCTTTAGGGCCAGCTGGACCTGGTTTTCCAACTTCTCCCGGTGGTCCTGGATTACCTGGTGGACCCTAAAACAATGCTGAAGGTCACCAAAAGGCTTAAAATATAAGAATTTATAAACTGCATGATAAAGTTTTCTAAGAATTAAACATGGATGCTTGCTGATACTGCAACAATAATCACATAAGCATAAAAAATGTGAACAATTATGATGATTGTCATCAAAACTCCTTCATTTGAATAAATTTTTTGTTTTCAATACATAAAATGCATAGCATTCATACCTGAATGAGCATCGGTGAGGCTGAATCGGAATTTCCCACCTAAATATGTACGAAACTTATCATGTTTTGAAATTAAAATGCAAGAAAACCAAGAGTAGCCACATTACTTATACAGTAACACAATCAGGTATAGTTATCAAGAAGGAAAAGAAATTAGAGTATCTCAGCTATATTCCGAAACTGAATTATTTTATTATTCTGAAATATCAATAAAGTTACATATTTTTCGATAAAAATTCCTTTCGTCGTACGCATAATGAGAAAATGAAGTTTTGATAAATTATTATTGACGGTTTTCTTCAAACAAACAGAAAGAAACAGTGAAAAAAATTTTTCGATTCTAAACTTTGCTTACTTTCAATTTGTCAAAAGTAGCCAGATTTGGAATAAGAAAGTAAAGAGTTTTCAATGCATAAAATGATCACATAAAAGGAATTTTTTTAATGCTGAAATTATTTCATCCGCATAAAATGCATGTTCGACATCCAATAAATAAAAGTTAACTGAAAGTATAACAGAAATAAGAGCATATTTTTAACGAATGCATTTGTAGATTTGAATTTCAGTTACATCTTACCACAAAGAATAACTATGAAATAAGCATCCATTTTAAAATATTTCGTGCAAACTAATTCTGCCCTAACAGAGGACCACTAACGTACTGATCACGTGACACCAGATTATTAGGCTTTTTAAATATACTAAGATAAAGAATTTAAATCTGTTCTCTTTTTGTATTTCGAATCTGAATTCTCAGATGACAGTATCAAACTAACACAAAAAGAACAGAAGGTTAGATTATTCAAACCTATTCTCTATTACACATCAATTAATTTACTATATTTCTGTTAATTAGTATTGTGATTTCCGGATAAAATAGTCCACCAATAAGTAACTGCAGCATTCTTGATATATGACAATTACTTAGAATCAAAATTACCTGCAATCTGCTAAGAGCAGCTGAATAACCCCGATCTCCTTTAGGTCCAGGATATCCTGGTGGTCCCATTGGACCACGCTCTCCACGTTCACCTTTCGGTCCTGGCATACCCTATAATTATTGCTTTTTTTTTTCTCAAATATACTGTTTTGTTATGTTTTTTCTCATATATTTAATATATCCATGCATACAATCCATTACATTGCTTTTTAACGTACCGAAAATAACAGCAAACTACCGCACTATCACTATTAAAGGTTTTTTTTTTGATAAACAAATTGACCGATTTTCAATCGATACGGAATGCGTTTAATTTTTAAATGCTCGAATAAACTGTCGTTCATGCATACTTTTCTTCCTCATCAATTAATTGCAAAAAGACATAAATGCTTTGGATATGCGTGAGACGAAACAAGATCTTGACATAAACTGACGCCACAAGTGAACGAAAGGCGCCACACTGGGAGCATTCTCCTCAATGCCTTTGTTTGCTTCTCTTTTATCGTTTGTAGAAATGCAATATCCTTACCACACAGAGATTGCTATGCTCAATATTTGACTCACTATTTATCAACAACATTGATTAATCAATAGTCAACGTTTGATATATTTTTCTTTCAATTGAAAAGTCATATTTCACTTAACTGATCTTACTTTTCAACTCAAGTATATATACCTAATATATTTTAAATATTCACACATATTGAGTCCATATAGCTTACTTTGTTCCTCTTCAATTTCAGCTTGATAAATTGTGTATAGCTTTATGTTGGAAAATGGTCTATTTATTCATTAGCAATCCAAGTTGAAGATGCTTTTATATTTACTTTGAGTTAATTATATGTTACGCTGGTTATCAATGATTTTTAAAAACTTACTGCAACACCTTTTGGTCCATCCAAACCAATCGGACCCTAAAAATGATACAGCAAATTATTGTTTTAGTTTACAGTTTACAAAGAGATTGAAGTTATATAATCTTTCATTTTATTTTTATGCAAATTTACTTTTATAATTATACTCACCGGAAAGCCAGGATATCCACGTGTGCCTTTAGGTCCCTGAAACTTGCTATACTGTAGTTTTACATTCTAAAGCAGTCTAGATTATAATGCATCCAGTGCCAAAGACTTGTGATCATATAGTGAGAGGGAAAAATAACAAATAAAAAGTTTTTGGAAGTAACTTGCAACATGCAAAATGAATTTTCAACATTATTGATAAATAAAAGTTGTTGCAATAGCAAAAATTAAAGACAAATAAGTACAAAAACTTTCACATCCTTAAAAATACAACAATTTCAAAATACTTCTTGAAATGTAGAGAAGTTGAGTTGTTTTGGCTCACAACATGGTAACTGTAATTCCCGCTTGTCACATTTTTTTTTTCTCGAGATTGAAAATAGTTAAGGATTCAAAAATACTAGACAAATATTATGAAGAGAAAACAAAGCATCAATGAAAGTAGTTGTTAATTTGCAACGAAGTCAACAAACGAACACAACATACAGGTGGCCCGGGTGGTCCCGCAATTCCGCGAAGCTGTATTGCTTTTCCGTTAGGTGCGTATAAAAAGCCAAATGATCGTAGTTGGCGACGCAACGGTGACTTCAAAAACTGTAAAAAATCTATGCAAAAAAAAAAAAGAACGTAAATGACTTGTTAATCACAAAAATATATTCACTAAATACCATTCTTTGTACTTGCTGAATACATTTTGTTGAAGAATTCATAAACGGTAACACAAACTTGCTTATGAACCACATTTCCGCAGTGTGAATCTTTCTTTAGAATTTGATTATCATTTGGGTACGAAGTCTGATTGAGTTTATATTTGGTAAAAACTTGAAGATAAATTTGAAGCAGAACTCATTAATTATACAACACTGATACAAATTAGGAACTATCATCATGCAGCAAGAAGTGCACCAAAGTGTCATGCATTTAAAATACAACGCAATATTTCAAAGCATTTGTATATAAAAATTATTAACATTACCATTGGTCCTAGTAAGCCTGGTTCACCCTTTCGACCTGTAAAATTTCAAGTCAGTTATTCTCGAATTTCATTTCTTGTTTCTAAAATTTGAAAAATTTACTACCTCATCTAATTTATATTCGTAAATTTATCACTGCTACCGTCTTATTTATATTATCAAAGAAGCAATTTTGTTCGCATATGTTAATACAGTGAATCGCATTTTCTACATGCTTTTAGATAAATGATCTCTTTGTTACATTAGGTGTTTGTATTTACCATTGTATGCTTTTTAGTTGCATGGAAAATGCAAAGATATTTTGCAAAGAAGACAGCTAGCACGAAGTATTTTTGCTTCGTCAACTGTTCAAGTACTTTTTCCTTTTCACATTTTGCTTTTTAAATAACTTTGTCAAAACTCGAAAAAAAAGGCACTAAATGTCTGCAGTTAACAACAAAGGCTTTTTCTATCCATCACTTTAGTGCTAATCAAATTTTCGAATATTAACGCTAAAAAAATAAATATGTGAAAATTATTATATAAGCATGTTTGTTCTTTTTTATTTTTTCAGAGCACTGTGAATGAAATCTTTACATGGACTAGAGACTCTTGTATTTCACTGAAAATTTTTTGGAACATAAAAATAAACAAAATTACACCTGGTGGACAGTGACATTTGTTATCATTATGATTTGATCGAATATTTCGGTCAATATTGTTTACTTTCGATCGTCGATGCCTAAGCAGCTGAAAATGATCTTTTCAATTTCCGAAAATTAGCCACTTTGATGTTTGAGAATTTTCAATACATTTGAAATTTTTATGTGAACTACGAAGTTGACATTGATGACATCGGTGAAGAGCATTCGAATGATTTATATCTCAGCAAGAGAAAGACATTTAGTGATTTCTTTTCTCCTATACTACAATTTACGCTAAAATGCTATCGTTTTGAATGCATCCCAACAACGCCTTTTAAATGAACTGAGTCTGCCACAATACACACATTTCATAAGATATTGAAACAAAAAATAATTGCAGGGTCGTCATGCTTCAAAACTTCCTACATTCTTTGCTCCTCTATGAAAATACATGATTTTAATTCGCTTGTACACACTAAATGTTTAAGGGACCGATTTACTGAAGATACTACTTTTCTTGTCATGATCACAGTAATATATATAACAAAGAAATGTAACTAAAAATGTGATGGGAATATATTTCATATGTCCATCCATGCCATCAATGTTATTTACATTTATTAGTATGTATTTAAAACAAGGGAAAGTGAGTAACTATGAATACATCCAATTTTTATCAGCAATATTTCGAAGTCAAATGCTTGTCTGGGAATATAAATTTTCAAAATATAATCAAACCAATAAAGTTATAATTAAACCAGTAAAGTATACGGGTTTTACATGCACTTCAGTACACATTTTGACCAGTTATTATGGTAATCTGAGATTATGTTAATATTAGAGATGAGAATTAGTAGTAACATCACATCTGGCAGTGATACTCTGGAAATCATGCTCTATATTTGTCACATTTCAAGTGTATTTATATTGCCTTGTTTTCAGATAAAAATTGCTTAATTTGATATGGACTTTCAAACATTACTTTCTTTAGTAATTCAAATTCGATTTTTAACAATTTACATGTTTCCAATGGAGCTTACAGTTTTCCTACCACATTTATTTCAAAAAAGCACACTGTCTATTGTATTTTTATAAATGATACTGTTCAATGAGTTCATCAGTTCATTGATAAAATTACCACAAATGTCCAGTCGCACTTTTCTTTAAATCGTTGTTACTTATATTTATTTGCTAAGATAATGGTTATAAATACAATAAAGAAAATTAAACTTACATCATGACCTCTCGAAACTTTATTACATTACTATAAACGTTCTATGAAACTGTATTTCTAATTATCCTACTCATTTGTTATTTTATTATTTTATGCTTTCCTTCAAACTAAGTTATAAGCTTGATTAATATTTTTAAAAAGTTTTTTGTAAGGATTTTTATTTACATATACTAATAATAATGGCGATGCTTCATACGATTTCATGATTTCATTTGATGAATAATTAATTCGATAACAGTGAGAACTGAAGACGCCGGCATGGCGTTCTTCGATCATTTGATAAGAGGGAAGAATTGAAGGACATTATTAGTAGTGGTAGTAATCCATGAATAGGAACAAAAAATAGCACATGTAATGGCTGAACATCTGGTCCCTACACTCCCAGCTATTCTTGACAAATATTAATTGATCTAATTGTAATATTTTTTCCCCACATTTCTTACCTTACAATACTATTACACCTTTTTTCTCGTCTTACCTATCCTTCAGTTCTGAATCTTCATCTCATATACTGCATTTCATACTTACTCGCTTACTTCTTTTCTATTTATCTTTCAAGCACTATTCATTATTTTACACCTATCGAAATAATCTAAACCGCAAAAAAGAATTCCCCTCTCAATTAGTCATTTTTCATCTTCAATCTAATCTGATATGATGCAAGCAATAGTATGGCACTGTATAATTCATATTCTGCATTTCGTCTGTCACAAAATATACATGTAAACGTAATCAATTTTCAAGTAGAATCGTTTATTTTAAAGACAGGATATATAATCATTGCAAAAGAACAACGAATATATTACTGTTAAAACGAAATAAAATGGATTTGGAGAAATTTTAAAAAAAATGATACTATTAAAATTGACTTCGTTTTAAGAATTTAAAAAAACGAAAGTGGAACATTACTTATTATTGTATACTTTAAAACTTTTTACTTGATTCTTAATTTATAAAAATAAATATTCGTTTAAAAAAGCGTTTAGCAGCTATGAAATGACATTATATCATATGCCTTACACTGATTAATGATTAAGCTAGCCATTTTTGAAGTCTAAAATAATTTCCTGAATATTTGATGGATATTTTCATCTGCAAGGAAGTAAGAAAACGTTAACGAAATTTCAGCAAACGATCAATTAAGAGTAAAACAAAGCTTATATGCTGCTGCTAAAAAAGCGATGAATTTCAGTAAAAGATCGCTGCTTCTGCTTGCGGTGGTCCTCACTTGCTTGTTTCATCTTTAGAAATGTGCTAGCAAGACATGCAAATAACATATCATTTAATGAACAGCTGGTGTAAAACAGTTAGCGAAAAATCTTAGTAATCTTTGATTCTTTTTTTTATTTTCGCTATCATTTGATAAAAAATAAGTAAAAATTGCAACAGTTCAAAATTTTCATTATTAAATCATTCATATAATATTAATCTTTTACGTGATTATAATTGTTTACATTGCATTGTCAAGTATGACCTTTTATTACGTTTTCAATTATCAAAGAAATAAACCACTTATTAAGCATGTTGAAACACTAAGTAAGCATTGTAATTATCACTAAATCACATTTGATCAGTACAAGTTGAGTTTAACTTATATCGACTGAACCTACTCTTCCATTAAGAAAGACGAATATGGAACATGTACTATGCAATAAATTATTATCTTGTATTTACCAATGAAAAAATTAACCGCAAAAATTACCTCACCCGTGAAAAAGTTAATTTTGTATATTTAACGCATGTGTATTTCAGTAGTCATACCAATAAGCCCCTTTTTCAGCATCGTTTTTTATAAGGTTTCGTGATGGCATATTAGTTGATCAGGCTTTTATTTAAATGCATAACGGAAATGATGCTCAATCATTTTCTGGATATTTTTTTTAATTTTCAGACTATTATTGATTAACTAGTATGCCATTACGTACATTTCAATATTTGACATTATACTGATAAAATCAATATAACAAGATGTACTTCTATTATCATTGCTTCAAATCCTTGAGAGATGTGTATAGTAATGGCAATTTTATTCTAAATAATGTTGATGTATTCATCATGATCATAAATCTATTCTTTAAGCACACGATCTGATTTATGGACATTAGACAAGCCTAACGTAAATTAGTCAAGAATGAAGTATCGTCTTTTCAGATGACTCAGTAAATAGCAATTACAAACAGTATAAAATTTTGTGTGAAGAAAAATTTGTAAATGTTTCACCACAGCATCATTTTTTAATCAAGTTCTTTGTGTAAATAACTCACAGTGCTTCCAAATTTTTAACATATGAAAATTGAGAAATCTTTAAAACCTTTTGCTTTTTATATTCAGTTCTCATCAGACACCATTTGTAACAGTTTGAAAAGAGAAAGTAACTATTCATTTTTTCGAGATGTACAAATTTTATTTTTAATCTGCTATTCATTACTTTATTTATCCATCTAAGAATGGATGTGAGTATTCAAAAATGTGTAAACATGCTAATTTCAACTATTCACTTCCAATCAATTATTTAAGAAATTTTTAAGAGAGTTATTTTGAAGCATTTTTTTCCTATCTGTTTACACTTTGCAAGAAAAGCCAGCGAGTAAGAATTTTTGAAGTAGAAAGTATAAAAAATGCCAGTATAAAGGGTTAAGGTGGTAAGCTCCTTTTAACAAGCATATTTCAGAAGTTGAATAACTAGGATTAATGACGAAAAAAGATACCAATTTATTATTCAAACCATTTATGTGATATTTTTTTAATTTAAAAAGAATAGCAAAATACACTTTATAGTGGTAGTACCATATGAACAATATTCAGAGTAATAATATAAATATTTGTAAATGTGAGTTCTTACTGTTAATATTAGGAATGAAAAATAAACAAAATTCAGAAATAAATATTTGTTTTTTAAGGGGCATGAAAAAAGTAGAAAGAAACTGGACAAAGTTGTGATTTTATTTACAAAATTTTCTTAGTCAGCAAATAAAAATGTTTTCAAAATATTCCCTGCCGTCTTTATGACATCCTTTTTTCACACTTTAAATAATATTAATGAGTTCAGAGTTTAGATTTTAGAAAGGAAACATTAGTACCGACAAAATTCACTACTGTAACTAAGATAATAAGCTAAATCAAAAATGTATTAATTGGAATATTCTAAAACGTGCTTTTCATGTTACTTACTGCAAGCTTTTTCTTTCAGTCCTTTGTCTAAACTTCAAGTTTATTAAAAGCAAGGTCTTGAAACAATTGGAAAGCAATTGTTAGCTTTTCAATTGTTTCAACTGAAATTAAAATTATTTTACAGCTTTGAAATGCATTGTGTACAGATGTAATGGTACAAAAATAACATACGAAGAGATAATACTAACCTGTATAGAAAACGCAGAATCAACCTCAAACCTTCGAATTCTGTAATCTAGTCGATTAATTCTCAAATGCTGAAGAACTAAACAACCCGCAATACACAACAAAACCACGGCAGCAGCAACTTTTAATAGAATATTAATTGAATTCCGATCAATTTGTAAATAATGATTGGCTGATTGGAATATATGCCCATCAGTTTGGCTCTGCATTTTTATTTTTTCAGTATCAACAGCGTCGTTATAATCGTCGCCACTTTGGTAATTACCATCAAAGATATCAGCATCACTAGAATCATGATAACAAATGCATGATTTACGGATCACGTGACTTGAATGCATATTAACAGCAATAACAGGTGAATGAGAACTAGCTGAAGTTGACGAAGTCTGAAGCAGTATCGCACGACATGGTTCGTCTTTAACGAAATTATCCTCTTCTACTTTTTTCATACTAACATTGAACCAGATCTTAAAAAATTAATACTATTCAGAGTAATGTTAAAAAGTTTAGATATGTAGCAAAATATTACGAAAAAAATGCAATCAAACGAATGAAAAACTCGTAAAGTCACTACTCATAGTCAAAAACTGTGATGGACATGTGACTTATTATTACAAGCTCTTCATAATGTTTAATAATTAATCAACATAATGATTAATATGTGTAACGAAATATATTTCCGTCACATTTCAGGCTTAATTTTTTGCTACTACCTCTTTTGTTCCCTGAATTATATGATTCTTCCAACATGATTAAAAGAAATTATATCTTCAATAAATCCTTTACTCATTTATTCCACACAAGTAAATAAGAATCATATAATTCAGGGAACAAAAGAGGTAGTAAGTTTTGTAGCTTAATTTTGTAATTATTTTTTTAAGAATTTTGGGAACGTAAAGTTTTTTGCTATGACAGTGACTGACAATGATAACTGCAGCACAAAAAGCAAGCACTAAATAAAATTGAAAAGATAAAGTAATATTGATGGAAGACTTCGATCACAATCGAAGATTTCTGTTGATAATAACTGAATAAGCACTTACTTACCTAAACAATGCTAACTAATCATAATAACTTGAAAAGAAACGACATAGCTAGCAATGGAAAATGTCAACAACAAATAAGCTTCTTGTTCATTATCGATAACAAGTTACTTGCGTATAAATAAAAGTGACGAACGAGAAAAAAATAGATGAGAAAGAAAAAAGCGAGATTTTGATATCTATTATAGAACAAATTAAAAAACCTTTCGTTCTCTTTTTGCAAACAGTTCGGGAGCAAACACACACACCAAGGATAAAATGCGATGGAGTCTAACTTAGCGTTCAATTTTGATTATAATTTGAGAAAATGCAAAAGCAAAAGGTTGAAAAGACTGTTACTGCTGTTTTAATATTGCGAAGTTATTATCGTCGTTCTCAATATTCTGTTTTTATTTTTCAATAATCTGACAAAAGATGTGCTAAAAATTGAATTAAAAAGGCAGTACATATAACGAAATTCAGTTCGATAATGTATATATATATATATACATAATATAAATAAAATTTATTTATTACAATATCCGAAGAAGTAAAAAGAATCAGATGAATTTGATTAGGATATATTTTCTTTCTCTAATTCATTTAATCTGTGATTATATCAACGAGTTAAACAAATGTTAAATGGATTTTTTTTTTTTTTTT